GAGACAGCTTCCAGCCCTGTGCTGCGGCTGCGGGTGTGCAGGGGCAGGGGAAGGGGCGGGGGGACCGACCGCAGCGTGGCTCACGGGAAGGCCTACTGCTTGGCAATAAACCCATCAGGGTTTAGAGAACTGCTGGCCCCCTCCTCCAGAGGAACAGACCAGCACCTGCAGAATCCCACCCTCCTTCCAGGGAGATCCCGGCTCAGCCACATCTAGTGACCTGAAATGTGTTTTGCAGGAGTGCTCAGAGAAGAGGATGCACGGGAGCATGTTCCCTACGTCTCCATTCATCCACTGCTACGATGATGAGTTTGAAATCAAGAGAAGGGAGAACAGATTGAAAAGAAAGGTTGCAGGTACAGTATATTTTGGGAGATCCCTCCTGACTTTCAGTTCTTTGAAATACTTTTTTCTGTGCTTGCTGCTTTTAGAAATATTGTGGGATTTTTTTCCTGCGTCAGGAAAAGCTATAGGGATTTGAACAGGTAGTCTAACAGTAGTAAAAGATTTGTGACATTATTCAACCATGTCTATCATGGAAATTTACTGTCTCAAAGCCACTAGGTGGGCGTTGTCAGAAGTTTTAATTCTAAAAAATCCACTGACATTAAAAATGCTGTAAACTAGCAGGAAGAGGGTTAAACTGTAATTTGTTAAGGTTCTAATCTGTTGACAGGAAGAAAAACACTGTGGAAAAATCTATCGGACTTTTTTCTAACTTCATACAAACATAAGGAAATCGGTGATGGTTTTCTGCATGGGTATTGAAGTCAAGTGCTCTGTTTTACAGAGATGCAGGAGGCCGGCCTGCTGCCACAGCAGCCAGAGACACCATGGTGGGAAGAAACACATGAGGGGCACAGCTACAAGAAAAAGAGCAAGCATGGGAAAGAGTATGGGAAACACAGCAAAGACAAGGAGCGTCACAAAAAGATGAAGATGTCCCAGGCAGAGACGCACAAAGAAAAGAAACACAGAAGGCATGTTGAAATCGGCCACAATTTGGAGGAGAACTTCCTCAGAGGGTCCAAAAGGCAGGCGTGTAAGGGCAGCAAAACCCGCCACAGGTCCAATTTCAAGGCGTTCTCAGGCGGCAAGACTGTGCATGTGCAGGAGCCTCTGGAAGGTGCTAAAAGGAAGAAGAAATGGAAAAAGCAGAAAGACGATAGTCCTGATATCAACGAGAATTTATTCCTCATAAAACAGAGGGGGAAGAAGTCCAAGCAGAAGTCCTGGTGATGCGGCTGTGGACTCTGGCGTGTGCTGACTCCGGCTCTGTCCTGTCCCTCTCGTAGCGCGCGGGACCCGCGCCCATCCCTGCCCCGCCGGAGCGCGGTGTCACCAGCACCAGGGCTGCACTCTGTGGCCCCAGATGTAATTGGCTGTAAGATTTTTTTTCTTTGCTTGGGGGGGCGTGGGGGGCAAGGGGCCACGCTGGGGCTGGTGGGTTTTGTTTCTTCACTGGTGAGAGGTGGCTCTGCCCGCTGGAGCAGGGTCTGCTGCTGGGGAGCACAGTTTGGGGCTGACACTGGAGAGGCTCACGCTGGGGGGGGAGCTGGGGCAGAGCCCTCTCGGTCCTCTCCAGGGTGCAGCTGGGCACTTTTCCACTTCTTTCCCTCTTGGAAGCTGCTGCAATGTCATTGCCTTGCACTTCGGGACGTGACAGTCTTCCGCTTCACGCTGGGGCGCGGCCATGGGTCCATCGCCCGGTGCCAGCGGCGAGCTCTGCGCTGGCCCCTTCCCTCTCTTTGCCAACAGGGCAGGGGATCAGAGTTCACATCTCCAATTACACACGTCCCTTGTTCCTCTTGATGTGGAAGTTGTGTCTGGAGAAAAGAAGAGTATGATCAATGTATTTGATTCCAGACGTGGTGTTCTAATGTATAGTAATTTTTGTAAAGACAGTTATTTTTGTACACTGGAGTTAAACTAGTGTGTTATTAAAAGCCCTGTAAGAATAAATGCTTCATCAGAGGAACAACCCAAATAAACCTTTACATGAGGGATATAAAACAATGTTTGTTCTACGTTTTCTTGCATTACCAAGCATAATTAAAATCAGTGTCGTCTTCTCTTTCCTGAGCTGAAACTACTGAAACACCTCTGGCAAGAGATTTTCTGGTTTTGAAAAGGAAATTTTCTGTAATCTAGTTTTTCATGACCTACTCTATACCGTACCACTCCCTTTGCTGAGCAATTGATAGTTACTAACAGGCAGTTTCATAAAGTTGCGTGTCCTTTCTTAGTTCTTGCTGAGAAATGGGCACTTGGCTACAGTAGTATTTTAAAATTGGACAGTGTAATCTGTGCTAATGCAAGAAGGGGAAATGGGTAAACTAGAAAAAAAGCAGCACTGTCATTCTGCCAGTAGTATTACATGCTAGTGTTCCCTAAATTCACCACCTTCGTGTTTGGTGAGGTCACCAGTGACAACACTGGTATTTTAGTGACCGTTTCACCTCATGTCAGAGGTGTTCGGAGTAGAGGTTTGCCCACATAATACTTGGCCCAGTCTTGCTTAAATGCATCCTTGTTGCCAACTGAAGTTCATTTTTGCTTAACTTCATTGATTAGTTGATTGAAAATTTCCTCATGATACTGAAAAAGGAAATCACTTTAGGCCCCAATTAAAATGATAAATTAATTTCACTCTTGAAAAGACTTGCCCCTAACTTTGAAACTCGTCCCGTAGGCTGTGTTTTTCATCCCTTTTTGTTAATCGGTACCTGGTTCTATTTGAACAAAAGTCTCCAGTAGCCCTTAGCTGAACCAGCACGTAGACTGGTAGATAGGGAAGGAGGGTTGGTTTAGATTAAGTTCTGAGATCAAACCCAGCTTTTCCAGTGCATCAGTTTGGTCATCTGGGCAGCTGAGTTGTCACAAGGCGAGTTAATCTCTTCTCCAGGAGCTGCACCCTTCTTGTAAGAGCCGATCTGGTGCCGTTCTTGCTCTCATGTCCCCTAAACCTTCCCTGGGGAGAAGTGTCACGATGACGGGGATTCCCAAAGGGACCAGATTCTCCATCTGCAAGAGATGATGTCTTGGAGTTCCACTGCCTGGGGTGGTGGTAGCCCTGCACCTGCCCTCGTGGAGGGTGACTGTGGCTGCTCAGCGTTTCACCCCGTGGCTGTTCGACCTCCGGGGAAACGGGAAACCACCTAAGTACAAAAACAGGGAATGGACAGCACACCTAACCTCTGGTTAGGCAGATTTTAGGGATTTCTCTCCCAGATCTGTTTTCCCCACTGTTTTTCAAGCTAGTATTTAGTAAGTTTGGGGGGTTTTTAAGGTAAAAAATGACTCAGTGAAATTGTGGCCTCCCCTTCTTTTCCCTGTGTGGTGGTGTGGTAAGGACTGGTCCAGGCTCTGGGGGGTTTCAGATCCTCCATGCCTCTCATCTGCTGAGAACATCAAGAGCAGGTGATTTTCTGCTTCACTCCCCTGAGTCAGGAGCATCTGTGCTTTCAGCAATGTCCATGAGGCCAAGGAGAAACCTGATCTGCAGCAGCATCTAAGGCGAGATTGCTGGGAGCCCTCGGTCTGCTTTGAGGGGCATGGTGGGTGCACAGTGGTGTGTCATGGTGAGAAACAGGACAGTGCAGGCCAGGAAAGCATCATCCTGAGAGCCACCACGGCAGGATGCTCTGGAGGGGTTCCCCACGGAGACCTCCTGAGCCCCCGCCTCTGGCTGCTCTCCTTCCACCACTCTCTTCCTCATTTTCAAAGGAACCTGCAAGGAGATAAAATGTGCAGTGCAATCCCCCTCCCGCTTTATGCAGTGACTTTATGTGATGATACATTTTCTTCAGCAGCCTAGCCAAGGCGAGAGGCCACACTGGGAGTGGAAAAACGATACTGGCTGGAATTGCTCAACACGGGGACATCTGGCAGCCCCTGAGCTGAGAGGTGCCGATGCCTTCACGGTGCCCATGCGCGATGTCACGCGGCGGTCAGACGGGGAGTGAGTCGGAGCTTTTCCTGACAACTCCTCTAAAGATAAGGTGCCAGGCCACTGCAGCAAGGGTTACGCCAGCCAGGAGTCCAGAGCTGTTCCTCAGATGATCAGTGGCTTCAGTCAGCAATATGTCACCTTGGAGTCTTCCATGGAATTTTTCAAAACCAGTTATGTGCTGGTGAGCAAAAGCCAGCCTTGTCTCCAGGAGCTGGCGGTGGGAAGTCGAGGCCAGGTAGCTTACAGAGTGCTCGGGTGAAATCCACAGGAGCCTGGCTGTGGTTTGTGGCGGCTGCCTGTCCTACTGCCAGCCCGACTCTACACAGTTCTCCCCTACCCACATCCCCCACAGCTCATCCCAACGGCCCTGAAACCCCCCAGGGATGGGGACTCCCCCCTCCCCGGGCAGCCTGTTCCACTCTCGGACCACTCTTGCTGGGAAACATTTTCTCCTCCTGCCCAGCCTGACCCTCCCCTGGGGCAGTTTCCAGCCGTTCCCTCTTGTCCTGTCCCTGATCCCCTGGGAGCAGAGCCCAGCCCCGGCCTCTCTGCAGTGTCCTGTCAGGAGCTGCAGAGAGGGATGAGGGCTCCCCTCAGCCTCCTCCTCCTCACCCTGAACACTCCCAGCTCCTTCCCTGGCTCCTCACAGGATTGATTCTCCAGCCCTTCCCCAGCCTCGTTGCCCTCCTCTGCCCTCGCTCCAGCCCCCCGAGATCTCTCTGGGGTTGAGGTGCCCAAACCTGGACACAACCCTCCAGGTGTGGCCTCACCAGTGCAGAGCACAGGGGGACTGTCACCTCCCTGCTCCTGCTGGTCACACCAGTGCTGACACAGGCCAGGAGGCCGTTGGCTTTCTCGGCCACCCAGGCACACTGCTGGCTCCTGTTCAGCTGCTTGTCAATTGGAACCCCCAGACCCTTCTCCCCCAGACAGCTCCAGCCACCCCTCCCTGAGCCTGTGGCCATGCAGGGGGTGGTTGTGGCCCAAGGGCAGGACCTGGCACTTGCCCTTGTTGAAGCCCATCCTGATGACGTTGGCCACCGATTCGATCTATCCAGGTCTCTCTGTAGTGTCCCTGTCCTTGTGCAGATCAACACTCCCGCTTCCCTTGGTGTCTGCGAACTCACTGATGACACACTCTGTCCTTATCAAGATCATCAATAAATGGGCCCCACACTGAGCCCTGAGGTCACCACCTGTGACCGGCCGCCAGCTGGATTTAGCTCCACTGACCATCCCTCCCTGGGACTGTCCGTCCAGCCAGGGCCTCACCCAGCGGACTGTTCTCTCACCCAGGCCATGGGCAGACAGTTTTCCTATGAGAATTCTACGGGGAACTGTGTCAAATGCTTTTCAAATGCCCAGGTCAAATATCCACAGCTTTTCCCTTGTCCAATAGTCGGGTCATCTTGTCACAGGAGGAGATCAGGTCTGTCAGACAGGACCTGCCTTTCATAACCCCGTGCTGACTGGGCCTGATCCCTAGCTGTCCATTAGATGACTTGTAATGGCACCCGAGGTGACCTGCTCCACGACCTCCCCTGGCACCGAGGGCACACTCACAGGTCTGTAGTTCCCTGGATCCTCCTTTCTGCCTCTCGTGTAGATGGGTGTCACATTTGCCACCCTCCAGTCCAACGGAACCTCCCCAGTCAGCCATGACTCCAGGTAAATCATGGACGGCGGCTTGGCGAGCACATCTGCCAGCTCCCTCAGCACCCTTGGGTGTAACCCGCCCACTCCCACAGACGTGTGTGCGTCCACATGGTGCAGCTGTTCTCCGACCCCCTCCTCTTCAACTGTGCTGACCTCAGTCTGCTCCCCCTCCCCATCTCCCAGCTCCTGAGGATGGGTGACCAGGGAACAGCCAGTTCCACTGCTACAGACTGAGAGATGCTGCAGCAACACAAACAAACTGGGGCATTAACCACAAGTCCACTTAGGTCATGGCAGGTTAAGATATCAGCCCAAGCACTGACTTATGTCAGGCTTTGCACAGCAAGACAGAGCAAATCTGCTGTAGAGATCCCACCAGAGAATTCGGAGAAGACTCAGAGGGTTCAGGTAATGCAGCTAGCAGGTAAAGGCTGACAGGAATGAGGCTGGTTTTCTTAGAGAAAAGCAACTGGGTAGATAAGGTGTGAAGGAAAATGGCTGCTCTTGATATGAGCACATGCTTGAAGATCAGGAAGAAAGGTGTAGCTGAGCAACTAAGACCTAAAAATGATAAATCTGATGGGGACCAACCTGCAATGGGGCAGAGCGAGGTCAAGGGTGCCCATGGCCAGGCACTGCGGGGCTGGAGATCAGGAGAACCAGGACTCTACATCCCACCAGCTGCCTGGGACTGCCCTGTCTTCAACAATTACTCCCCAGGCTGGGGTAGTGCTCGAGCACCTGGAATCTCACAACCAGCGCACTCCAGTCCAGCTTCAAAAC